TGATTGGTTATCATAGTGGTGATTCAGTAAAAACCCACCCATATATTCTGTTACCTTAACCACTTCCCCACCACCCTATAGCAGAAATACTGCTACAGGGAGGCAGCGCTGCTCAAAATCACATATATATACGTGATTTGCATGTCCAAGTAAGGGGGCCGTGCGCCTACCTACCTGCGCCGCCATTGGCGGCTACAGCTGTCGATCACTGAGTCCTGGCTGGAGATTCCCTGCCGGCACCCGGAGATCACCAGGTAACACTGACAGGGGAGAGACCAGTGTGTAAACAACACAGGTCTTTCTCCTGCCAGCAAGGACATGCTGCTGTGTATCTCTCTTCACAGCACATCTCCCTAGTAAAACACACACGGCACACAGTTAACCCATTGATTGCTCCAGATGTTAACCCCTTCCTGCTCAGGGTCATTAGTACAGTGTCAGTGCTTTTAATTAGCACTGATCACTGTATTAGTGTGATCAGGGTGGCAGTTAGTCAGTCCCCCCCCGTCCCCCCCCAGTGTCAGAATGCCAGCCATAGTCTCACAGTCGCTGATTCCTGCCATTACTAGTAAAAACAAAAAATAAAAATTCCAGTATATATACCGCCATTTGTAGACACTATAACTCTCACGTAAACTAATTAATTTACATGTATTGGGATTTTTTTTAGCAAAGACATGGAGCAGAATACATTTTGGCCTTAATTTATGAGGAAATTAGATTTTTAAATTTTTTTTTACTGGACATGTTTTATAGCAAAAAGTCAAAAATATTGTTTTTTTTCTCAAAATTGTCGGTCTTTTTTTTTTTTAATACAGCACAAAAAATTAAAAATGCACAGGCGATCAAATTCCACGGAAAGAAAGCTCTATTTGTGGGTAAAAAAGGACGTAAATTTAAATTGGGTGCAGCATTGCATGACCGCGCAATTGTCAGTTGAAATAACGCAGTGCAGTAATGCAAAAAATGGCTGGGTCAGGAAGGGGGGTAAATCCTCTGGAGGGGAAGTGGTTAATATGAACGGGAAAAACGATACATTAGATACATTGTTTCCTAGTCACAGAAGAAAAATGTAAGCATAACAAAAAAGCCTTTGTGTGAATAATAACAAAAAGAATTAAAGGTAAAATAAATCAGGGCTTGATCTAGGTCAGGGTCGGAGTTAGAGTCAATGTTTAAGGTCAGTGTGTGTTAGGTAGGATTAAAATACTTTTTTATTTGCTGTGGGTTTAACCATTAGCCGCCCGGCCTATAGCCGTTTGGCGGCCGCAAAAATGCTTCAGCCATTTAGCGTGCTCCCGCACATGCGCAGTTTGCGCGGTTGCAGAGCCGCGCAGCGGCACGATCTGTCACCGGCCGTGTATCTCGGACACGGCCGATGACAGACCTGAGTACCGGCCCCCGTTGCCAGTACCATGTGACCTGCTGTGACCAATCACAGCAGGTCACATGACAGTTGTATACAATGGATGGCTTCATTCATACTAGCTGTGAATGGTCACAGCAGGTCACATGCACATGTCATGTGATTAGCTGTGGCCAAATCACAGCTAAGCACAAAAAAAAAAAAAAAAACCTTAATGAATCGATTTCATTCAGGTAAATGCTTGCTTATAGCAAAGTAATTCTTTGCTATAAGCAAATTGTGTAAAAAAAAAAAAAAAAAAAATACTGATCACTTCTCCAAAGTAGTACAATGTTACTATGGTAACATTGTACTACTTTGGTCATAGTAAAATATGAAAAAAAATCTTAAAAAAACATAAAAAAAAATGTAATTAAAATTAAAAATAATAAAATAATATATATATATACCGTATTTTTCGCTCCATAATACGCACTTTTTTCCCCCCAAAAAAGGGGGGAAAATGTCAGTGCGTCTTATGGAGCGAATATAGAGCGGCCGGTCCGGTATTTCCACCACCGCCGTGCAGAATACCGGGCCGGCCGCTCAGCTCTGCAGCGGGACCTATGGAGAGGACTGCTGACCTTTGGGGAGGTGGGGAGCGGGTACCTGAATTGGACAGGTACCCGCTCTTACTTATTTGTTCTTTATCTTACCTGTTCCTCTATCCAGCGGCACGCTGTCTTCCCGGCTTCTGTAGTGTGGGCACTGAGCATGACAGCCGGGTGCCAAGTGCGCATGCGCAAGAAGCGGTGCTTTTTGTGAATGGTAAGGCGGTACCTGGGACACATGACCGATCCCAGAAGCCGCCGGACCAATCACAAAGCGCAAGTGCTTCTCGCTTATGCGCACTGGGCACCCGGCTGTCATGCCGAGCGCCATTACAGAAGCCGGGAAGACAGCGCACGGCTGGATAGAGGAACAGGTAAGATAAAGAAACAACTCCGAGGAAGTAAGAGCGGGTACCTGTCAAATTCAGGTACCCGCTCCCCCCCCTCCCCAAAGGTCAGCAGTCATCTGTACTGTCCGCAGACTCTGGTCATCCCTGTGCTGTCCGCAGTCTCTGGTCATCCCTGTGCTGTCCGCAGTCTCTGGTCATCCCTGTGCTGTCCGCAGTCTCTGGTCATCATCCCTGTGCTGTCCGCAGTCTCTGGTCATCCCTGTGCTGTCCGCAGTCTCTGGTCATCCCTGTGCTGTCCGCAGTCTCTGGTCATCCCTGTACTATGTCTGCAGTCCATTAGTTCAGAAATTTTTTTTCCTGTTTTCTGCCTCTAAAACCTAGGTGCGTCTTATGGTCAGGTGCGTCTTATGGAGCGAAAAATACGGTATATATATATTTTTTTTTTTCCATACTGTCACCAGTCAGTGTCCCTGTTCACCGACATGCCAGTTATATGATGACGCTGTACTGCACTGGTCACAGTATGTAAAAAAAAAATTGTGAAAATAATTTTTTTAATTTTTTCATTTTCCGAAAAATTATGACAAAAAAAATACAACTTCAAAAAACTCGCCATTCCTCTTAGGAAGTACGTTTAACTGTCTACTCTGCAAAAAGGGGTCATTTGGGGGATATCTGTACTGTTCTGACATTCTTGGACCTCAAGAAATTAGATTGGCTGTCAGTACTTCAGGATTGATCAATTTTCAGATCTATACCATAGTTTGTGAACTCTATAACTTTCCTACAAACTAAATAATACATCCTAATTTGGGTTATTTTCACCAAAGACATGAAGCAGAATACATCTCGGCCTAAATTTATGAAGAACAATTATTTATTTGTAAACTTTTATAACAGAAACAAAGAAAAACGTGTTTTTTTTTTTTCAAAATTTGTGGTCTTTTTTTGTTAATTTAGCAAAAAATAAAAACCCCAGCGGTGATTAAATACCACCAAAAGAAAGCTCTAGTTGTGTGAAGAAAATGATAAAATTTTAGTTTGGGTACAATGTTGTATGACCGCGCAATTGTCATTCAAAGTGTGAGAGCGCTGAAACGTGAAAAATGGCCTGGGCAGGAAGGTGTAAAATTGCCCGGTATTGAAATGGTTAAGTAAATAAAAAGAAAAATGTGCACTATTGTCTCTTGACCCTACTACAGATACAAATAATATAGATGGAAAGGGTATTGTCACACACCTCAGGATCAATGATGGGCTGCATGTTTAACTCAAACATGGGCCATTCGTAAGTTTGTTGAACACACGAACGGTATGGACGTTCGGTGGGCTATGCACCCTGACAGTGCATTGGGCTTTGGCCAATCACAGGACATGATGATGTCACAAGAACTATTTTGTTAAAGGGGGCTTCCAGGTTCTGATAAGCCCCCTGCCCGCAGACCCCCACAACCACTGGCCAGGGTTGTGGGGAAAAGGCCCTTGTCCCCATTAAGGTGCTTTAGGGGAGGAGCCCCACCTGCTCCAAAGCACCCCCCGTGTTGAGGGCATGTGGCACGGCATGGTTCAGGAGGGGGGAGCACCCCCTTTCCTTACCTGTTTGGCTACATGCTCGGTTAAGGGTCTAGTATGGAGTTTGGGGGGACTACCACGCCTTTTTTTTTCTCAACTTTGGCGTGGGGTTTCCCCTCAAAATCCATACCAGACCTGAAGGGCTTGATATGGATGGGAGGGGGGACCCCATGACAGCTGAAACATGAATGAATGGTTCACTACTAAAATATTACATGAACTCATGCCGGATTTTAGTAACTGAACGGTATCTTACCACATACTCAGATGCAGGAAGATACCGCTCAATAAATTGTTTGTGCTCGAAGTTCACGGTCAAATTTTTGGTAGATTTGAATGTTTGACTGCAATCCGAACAGGAGGGTGCTCAGCCCATCTCTACTCAGGAATAGGAGAATTTTTATTTGGGGTGTTTTTTTGGTGGTGGGTCATGGTAATTGCAAGGAATCTACAGCTACATTTTTTGTTTTTAATAATTTTTACTGTTTTGTTCCAGTTCTTTGTTAAACTAAGAAAAAAAACTTGGGGAGGGATCCATTAACATTTATCACCCAATGTATCCCGTAAAAATCACAGTATAATTCACCTGGATACACCAACTATTTGCAATGATATGTACAGTTTTCCTAACACATGCAAACATGGCACAACTACATTCAGGCATTGGGGGGGTACACATCTATTTCCACAGCTATGTTCTGAGGCATGCTGGGAAATGTAGTCTAAAAACGGATGAGACAATAACCACATCAGTTGTCAATGGAAGGATCTTATGGATGATGGGCGACTCAGCAGGAGCCCAAGCCCACTACTTTATACTATGGAAGATCCCATGAATCAGAATCAGCCTCAGCCTCCCTGTTTTGTCACCAGTCTCTGTGTAGATTTGTCACAAGTTTTGTTCCCCCCCACCTATCTTTATACAACCTTTCCCTACAAAAAACACAGCATGGAGGGGCTCGGTGAAGATGTCAGTGAAGGTGTGGAGATGTCGGATCTTAATATGCAACTCATAAAAAGAGAGACGCCGCCCCGCCTTATAATCCAGACATACCCTGACCCTGCGTATTGGGATGTTGGCCACTATATTGGTCAGTTGCTTGTTATGTTTCATTAAGAACGTATCACCGTTCCTCTCCAGACACCAGGACTTCTCATTATTTCCAGTCTCTGACATCTCTCCTGTCCTGGCTATACTGGGGTAACACACCCCGACTCTCCAGTGGGATGATCCCCCAACATCCACATCCCAGTAATGTCGCCCCGAGGAGAAACTCTGACTGTTCAACACCTGAGGAGATATCACGTTCCTGAATTGTGGGACATTCATTGACACATTGCCAAAAAGACTATTCCTGCTAAGATTAGAACCAAAAAAAACATCAGTTTCTTGGTAGACCTGAAATCTCTCAGGTGTATTAGGGCGATTCAGATTTTTATTTGTCTTGTGTGCGGTCTTCCTATCATCTGAGATATTTAGGTAGTTATGAGCTGTGTCGACATCCAGTAATATATCTGCAGGTTCTGGTATAATTTCTCCATATATCCCTGTTATTATATCAGATAAACCTTTATATAATGTATGTGAGATCCTTGTCATAATCATATCCCCCCCACCATGAAGGAGTTTATCACATCTCTCTTTGTCCTCATCTCCATCCTCAGTATCACACAAGTCACCTGTGTATGATTCCTGTAAGAAAGTCAGCGGATCCGTCATCTTACAAATCTCCTCAATGTGACATATCTTCCTGGATAACTCATTCTTATTTATCTCCAGCTCCTGGATTAAATTAGAGGCTGGGAATGAGAATTTCTCTGCCTCCCTGGGTATCTCATTAAGAACTCTCTTCTCCAGGGTGTCCAGTTGTCTTCTGATGTCTCTCAATATGGCGGTGACTCTCTTGGTCAAACCATCTGCATCGGCTTGTACTTTTCTTTTGTATTTCCTCAGATTCTTGATATTTTCCTCCATTTCCTCTCTCTTTTTCACCAACTTCTGCAACTCTTTGGTCAGGTTCTCCTTCCTCTTCTCAGTGGCCTCCTCCAGTGCCTCCACTTGGTGTTCCTGATGGTCCCCATGTAGCCTGCAGGACCCACAGAGACAGGCTGAGTCCTCGGTGCAGTAATACTCCAGGATCTTCTCATGGACGGAGCATTTCCTGCTCTTCTGGGGAGTGGTGAAGTCAGATAGGACATGTTGGGATGACTTGCTGTGGATTCTCAGATGGTCATCACACAAAGAAGCTTCACAATGTAGACAAGATTTAACAGCAGGTACAGGAGAGTGCATACAGTACGTACAGAAGATCTGGCTCTGGTTCTCCTTCTTCTCTGGCTCAGTAGGTTGGAAACTCTCCATTATGTTGCGCAGTGTTATGTTCCTGCTAAGTTCAGGCCGCTCCTGGAACTCTTCTCTGCATTCAGGACAGAAATAGACTCCAGACCTCCCATGTGTATCCAGTACACTTTCTATACAATCTTGGCAGAAGCTGTGTCCACATTTCAGTATCACAGGATTGGTATAAATGTTCAGACAGATGGAACAATCCAGCTCTTTCCTCGCATCAGAAAATGCCATCGCTGACTGCAGGAGAGAGAAACGAAACTAAGTAGATGTGTGTCAGAAGGGAGGGGGTCAGAGGAGGGTTTACTGAGATATCTCTGTGTGCAACTCAAGAAGGAGGGGAGAGCTCTACTGATCACACCGTCGAAGATTTTACTGATGTGATCAGAGCAAAGCAGTTAATTTGCTAAAAGTGGAGAGTTCAAAACTTGGTGCAGTTGTGCATGATAGCTAATCATCTGCTAACATCAGCTTGTTCAACTAAGGTTTGACAAAAAAACTTGGAAGCTGATTGGTTTTTGTGCAGCGCTGCACCAGATTTTGCATTCTCCATTTTTAGTAAATCAACTCCAACGTGAGAAATAATCAGGTGATGAGTTATAGTGATATAATTCTGTCTCTACAGATATAGTAGTAATCCTTGTGACAGAACGCGGCACCCAATCCCTGCCCTTCTCACCAACTCATGACAAAGGACCAGCCAATCTCCCAGCACGCTGTCACTTGCGTAACAATGCAACTCTCAGCTGAAACCTGCACAAAGATTTTCCAGATTGTTATCGGGTTAGGTTAATTACGCAATTAACCCTTCACACTGCCACCACCGTCTTTTTACAGAGAAGGAGGAAACTCACAAATCCTAGCAATAACATAAGCATAATCGTCTGTAACACACACTGTCACCACAGACACACGGATATTCAGAGGATTATTATATACAGTAGCACTCTTCAAGAGACAGGGATTCTTTAGTTTGCATTAAAGGCTTTAGTAACAGTTGCAACACTTCAAAATAGGATTTATTGCTAAAAAGTTCAAAATAGTGCAATTAAAATATTTACAGAAAAAGATGCTACAAAGATATAAAGAGAACAATAATGCAACAGAGAAATAAAAGAAAGGAGTTCAGAAGGCAGAATTGTCCAAGCAAAAAGGTTGCCTTGGCCCTCAAGTCCATTAGATTTTGCCTGATTGATGTTAAATGAGAGCTCTCTTCTCTCCAGCTTGGCAGTCTTTTTCTATGATATTAAAGGGGTGTCGCCTGAGAACAAATGACCAGTCATCCAGTTTGGGGAAAGGTTCTAGGAGGTTTTTGACCAAGTCACTTTACAATTTCATACTAATGTTAATAACCTCCAATATGTGCAGGTGGCTTTCTAGCAACTAGCAGATTAATATTCAAAATTATATTTCAAACCCAGGGATACCAAACACAGCATACCTTTGTCACCCAGGAGGGAAGAGACTGCTTTCTCCTCTCTCCTATGTGCCAACATAGTCATGTATGACCTTGTTTGGCTCGACCTGAAATGCCCTATTCAAATATATACCTAATATTAATGTGCCCAGTTTCTGTTGGATACTATGAGCTGTATGTGAAATTGTGACATGTGGAATGGACGTTTTATGTAACGCTATGCATTCCTAACGGCCGAACAGGTCATGTGTGAGGGCTGACTGAGTTGTTGTTTTAATATAGGGCATAGGAAAGTGGTTTTCATAGTTCCTGAAAAACACATATCCTGCACAGGACTAATTAGCGGTTTACAGCTCTGGAGCTGGCCTATATTTGTGTTTTATTTAAGATAACAAGCCCTTTTTGAAGTTGTTACAACTTACAGCAATTAATTCCATTTCCGAGAGCAGGGAGGAAGGAGAGAGATGATTGTAAATGAAAAACTACATGGCTGAGACCTTAACAAGATGGCTGTTGCGTACAGCGTCCATGTCTATATTGCGCACAATCATCTCACTCCTATTATTTTAGTTATTATTATTACCATTATTATATGATACTTCTGTCCCAACTGATGTCTCTACAATAATAATATTATTATTATATAATATTATTACGTTTTTACATATTTATCTACTTTTAAAGTCTAGTTTTTTTGTGTATACAGATATATACTGTGTGTGTGTGGTGTGTATGTGTAAATATATATATATATATAACTTTTTCAGAGGCATAAATAAAAGGGGGACGGGTAAAATAGGGGGGCCCTACACCCTCATAGCATCTGAGACATAGCATGTAGCATTCAAAGCTGCCGAGCATATAAAGCATTGTAGCTGCTCACATGACACAGCCAAAGGAGGGTCATGTGAGCAATCTGTTTCCTTGCTTAGGCAAAGGGCTTTCTTTCACCCACAAAATGCTTTGATTAATCAGGGAGCGCATCGCAGACCACCCGGCAACAAACCCAGCCCTCAATACACAAAGTCCCTTACACATGCTGTCTTTCAGCTCTTTGCTTTCACTTGTCTAATCTGTCCATCCTAAGACAAAACTCATACAATATTCCAACAGTCTGAACTGTGGAATTCATTGATATATACATAGATTTCTTGAGGGAGATTGTTGATACATATTTCTGTCCCAAACAGAGGATCTTCTCCAACCCAGTCTGCACGAGGGCCACCATATTTCCTCTGACCGTTGACCTGTACAAGGTTAATATTACATCTTTCCATCCACTCCACAAGGGAAGATGTATTGTCTTTATACAGAGTTGTAATCCAAGCCTCACTCTCAGCATTCATCACGTTGTTGTCCATCATTGGAGAATGATCTGCTCTCTCCATGGGCCATAATCAGTGACATTTGAAGCCCATGTCCAGGATCCATCTGTGTGTGGTGGTTCTTGATGCACTGACTCCAGCCTCAGTCCACTCCTTGTGAAAGTCCCCAACACTTTTGAATGTCCTTTTCCTGACAATCCTCTCCAGTCTGCGGTCATCCCTGCTGCTTGTGCACCTTTTTCTTCCACACTTTCCCTTCCACATAACTTTCTATTAATGTGCTTTGATACAGCACTTTGGGAACATCCAACTTCTTTTGCAATTACCTTTTGAGGCTTCCCTCCTTATTGAGGGTGTCAATGATGGTTTTCTGCAAAACTGTCAGGTCAGCAGTCTTTTTCCCATTATTATGTTTCCTACTGAACCAGACTGAGAGACCATTTAAAGGCTCAGGAACACTTTGCAGGTGTTATGGCTTAATTAGCTGATTAGAGTGGGACACTTTGAGCAACGAATATTGCAGCTTTTCACAATATTCTCATTTTCTGAGATTGTGGATTTGGGGTTTTCATGAGCTGTAAGCCATAATCATCACAATTTTGACAAATCACAGCTTGAACTCTCTTGCTTTACATGTAATCAGTCTATCTCGTATATTAGTTTAACCTTTTAATTTGCATTACTGAAATAAATGAACGTTTGCACGATATTCTAATTTTTTGAGTTTCACCTGCACACAAGCCTTCACACCTTCCAAAGTATTCGATAATGGGGGTGGCCAGGAACTGAGCGGCGATAAATACAAAGTGACCATAAGTGCATTGGCCGGGAATCAAACCCAGGCCTCGCACGGGGCAAGTGAGAATTCTACCACCTTTGGCAGAATCTAAGGGGCTTCTCTCTCACCTGGCAGGTCTTAGAAAGTCCTGATTTAGGCCATGGCAGCCATCTTGGTGAATACATTCAGATGTGGGTCAAGTCAACCCAAAGACATGCCTTCCTTCAGCCGTACACACCACCACTGTGAAAATGTACGACAGCCCATTGCATCTTTGAGGCTAGAAAGCCTTTCCATTGGAGAAGAAAAGCAAAGACTGGGCCAGAGCTTTTTCTAAGTACCTTTGACTTGGGGTTGACTTGTCTAAATCAATGGCAGTGCCTATTAATCTACCTTGCCACTTTGCAGGATGGACCCACTCACTCCCCATTCACATCCGTAGGAGATCTTTAGAGGGGCTCTACATTGGCCTCATGTGAGACTCTACAAAGTCAATAGAAGCTGCCTGAAACAGAGAGGAACAGATCTTTTCCGCTGAAAGCCTTCTATAAGCAGAATGTGGAAAGTGGCGGTCAAGCGCCAGATGAGGACACCTCCCAGCTAGAGATGAGCGAATCGAACCAGGCGAAGTGGAATTCGATACGAATTTCAGGAAAAATTAGATTCGCGTCGAATCCGATATATTAGCCTACTTCGGGTGCGCGAATCGGATTTTTCCCGATCAGCCGGAAAAAGTGTCCCTGCAGAG